CTTTCTAAAGATATAAAGAAAAATGTTCTCCTGGGGTCATTAGAGGTCAACTACTCCCATGGCCCTGCTAACATTTGCAAATATAAATAAATTTGGTGTCAATCAACTGCGCTTCGTTTGTGCAGCAAAAATTTTCGTTTTTGCTGCCATCAACAAAACTCTACAAACTATTACTAATTATATTAATAGTAGTTTGTAGAGGTCATCAAAGGTCAGTGAACATCCGTTAATGCTGAGACAGTGAATTTCATATTAATTATAAATTGCTAACCTATGAATATTAATAATTTATTTTAACCTGAAAAAAAAATAGTGGCAAAAGGGACAATTTTTGCAGCACAAACGAAATGGAGTTAATTGACACCTATTTCGTTGGATTTAAAGAAGGTGGGGGGGCTAGTTGACCTTTGATGACCTCTAAAAACATTTCTTTATATCTTTAAAATGATAGCGGCACAAACGGAAATTTTTGTTGCACAAACATAGTACAAACATTTGACACTGATTTGAAGGTGGGGGGGCCAACTTCACTCAGGTGTAGTGGACCTATTCGCCACACAAGAGAGCACACAGTGTCCGCTGTGGTTCTCCCTGAGCACGAAGGAGGATCCACCTCTAGGAGTGGATGCCTTTGCTCATCCGTGGCCACAGAAACTCCTTTGCACTTTATACCTCCGGTCCCGCTGATACTACACCGGGTTTGGTCAGAACTGCTTCCGCTAATTCTAATAGCCCCCCGATCGCACAGATGCTCTGTGGTTCCCCAAACTACAGTAGCTGCTGTCAGGCCGCCCGTGGCAGCTGCCATGGAGGGAGGATGTGCTCCTCCACGTAGGAGGAGCAATCAGAAGTTACCCGGAAATAGGCCAGCGTCTCTGGGCCTGGCCGCTGAACGGGTGCGCTTACAGAGGCTTGGCCTTCCGCATGAAGTCATGCGCACCATTCAGGCTGTATGGGCTGCCTCTACAACAGCGCTATATGCGTCAAAATGGAAAGCTTTTGAGCGCTGGTGTGCGGAGAAAGGCGTGGATCCCATTTCATGTCCTCTAGCCTGCATAATAACGTTTCTCCAGCAGCTCATGGAAAGAAAATTAACCCTGAAGACTTATGCTGTGGCTCTTTCCTCTTGTCATGAGGGTTATGGTGACAGAACAGTCTTTAACCATCCTCTGACAAAGCGGTTCCTGAGAGGTGTGCACAGACACAGACCTGTGTCACGCCTACTGGTTCCTCAGGGGCATTTAGCGNGCCATCAACAAAACTCTACAAACTATTACTAATTATATTAATAGTAGTTTGTAGAGGTCATCAAAGGTCAGTGAACATCCGTTAATGCTGAGACAGTGAATTTCATATTAATTATAAATTGCTAACCTATGAATATTAATAATTTATTTTAACCTGAAAAAAAAATAGTGGCAAAAGGGACAATTTTTGCAGCACAAACGAAATGGAGTTAATTGACACCTATTTCGTTGGATTTAAAGAAGGTGGGGGGGCTAGTTGACCTTTGATGACCTCTAAAAACATTTCTTTATATCTTTAAAATGATAGCGGCACAAACGGAAATTTTTGTTGCACAAACATAGTACAAACATTTGACACTGATTTGAAGGTGGGGGGGCCAACTTCACTCAGGTGTAGTGGACCTATTCGCCACACAAGAGAGCACACAGTGTCCGCTGTGGTTCTCCCTGAGCACGAAGGAGGATCCACCTCTAGGAGTGGATGCCTTTGCTCATCCGTGGCCACAGAAACTCCTTTGCACTTTTTACCTCCGGTCCCGCTGATACTACACCGGGTTTGGTCAGAACTGCTTCCGCTAATTCTAATAGCCCCCGATCGCACAGGTGCTCCGTGGTTCCCCAACCTACAGCAGCTGCTGTCAGGCCGCCCGTGGCAGCTGCCATGGAGGGAGGATGTGCTCCTCCACGTAGGAGGAGCAATCAGAAGTTACCCGGAAATAGGCCAGCGTCTCTGGGCCTGGCCGCTGAACGGGTGCGCTTACAGAGGCTTGGCCTTCCGCATGAAGTCATGCGCACCATTCAGGCTGTATGGGCTGCCTCTACAACAGCGCTATATGCGTCAAAATGGAAAGCTTTTGAGCGCTGGTGTGCTGAGAAAGGCGTGGATCCCATTTCATGTCCTCTAGCCTGCATAATAACGTTTCTCCAGCAGCTCATGGAAAGAAAATTAACCCTGAAGACTTATGCTGTGGCTCTTTCCTCTTGTCATGAGGGTTATGGTGACAGAACAGTCTTTAACCATCCTCTGACAAAGCGGTTCCTGAGAGGTGTGCACAGACACAGACCTGTGTCACGCCTACTAGTTCCTCAGGGGCATTTAGCGCTGGTTCTACACGCTCTGGTAAAGCACCATTTGAGCCCTTAGATCAGGCTCAAACTAAATTGTTATAATTCAAAACAGCTCTGCTGTTAGCTCTGACATCTGCAAAGAGAGTGAGCGATCAGTCCGCCCTCTCTGTTGCTCCTTCCTGTCTCAGCATACGGGGAGACGACAGCTCAGCTGTGCTGTGTCCTAAACCAACGCTCACACCCAAGGGCATCACAAGCTCTTTCAGGTCGAGGGTGATAACTGAATGGCTTCTATCCTACTCCTCATAACTCCTAGGAGGAAGTTATGCACCATCTCCTCTGTCCTGCGCGTGTGCTCTTGTGTTACATGGTTCGCACGGCTGCACTGCGCTGCACAGAATGCATGTTTGTGCATTACAGAGACAACTCTGCAGGACAGCCTTTGACTGCACAGCACCTTTCAAACTGGCTGTGTGACGCTATTTGACAGGCTTATACTTCTAGATTGGAGCCTCCAGAAAAGCTCAGGGCTCAACTGCTCGAGGGGGGCACCATGGACAGCTAGCTGGCTAACACATGTTGGATAAGCTGACTAAAATATTTGCCTTTTTTCATTTCAATAATAAAATATTTAGGTTTATCTGTTGGTCTTTAATCACTAAAAGGAACCTCAGTGTGGACAGTCAGGATAACCAGCACTTCGAGGTTCTTTATAAAATTAAGAGGGTAAGCCTATGTTACATTTCTGGCTCAAACATACCAAACAGGTTTATTTGTACAAGTTGGTCATACCTCCAAGTGGCTGCGACGCTCAGAGACCATTCGCTCATCCCGGTTCCCAAAAAGCTTCTTAGGAGGAAACACGAGGTTCGCCAGCTGTACAGAAATAAGAGGCGTCACAGATGAGTTTCACATGAACAAATCTCTTAAAAAATCCATTCCGCAATCTGACAATGAGTTTTATTATTACCATTTGATATTCTGTCAGAAAATCCACAATAGAATTTAAAATCCTCCTTCTCACATATAAAGCCTCAAATGGCCAAGCTCCATCTGATATCAGAGATCTGATTGTTCCTTTGTTTTCCTAACAGAGCACTTCACTCTCAATCTGCAGGTTTACTAGTGGTTCCTAGAATTTCTAAAAATAGAATGGGAGGCAGATCTTTTAGTTATCAGGCTCCTCTCCTGTGGAACCAACTACCAGTTTCACTCCGTGAGGCAGACATCCTTTCTACTTTAAAGGGTAGGCTTAAAACTTTCCTTTTTGATAAAGCTTATAGTTAGAGTGGCTCAGGTTATCCTTAGCTATCTCTATAGTTATGCTGCTACAGTTTTAGACTTCTGGAGGACATAGGGACCCCTATTTCATCCCCCTGCTTCATTCCATCTCTGCAGAATCTGTTAGTTAAATCTCTAAAGTTATGCTCTCTCTGCTTTTTCTCATAGTAGCTTCGCCTCATCTGTTTGGCTGTGACGTCACCATGGAGAGAAATATCAGCTGCGCTGCTGCAATCAACACCTTTGTTTATAGAGGTTCGAGATCGGCCTTTTTTCCAGTGTAGTCCTCTTTCTCTGACATTGACTGGCTGGATGTGCTCTCCTTATCCTCTGACATGGGAGTTGGCTCGGTGCTCGTCTGCCTGGCTGTGTGTTTCCTGGACGGGGCCGCCTTTTACAGTTGCTTTTTGTATCTCTGTTTCTGTCTCCTTGAACCCCAGTCTGCCTCAGGGGATGGCTGCTCACACTGAGCCTGGTTTTGCTGGAGGTTTCTTCCTGTTAAAAGGGAGTTTTTCCTCTCCACTCTCGCTACAAGCATGCTTGCAGTGTGAGGGATTGCATTCGAGTCAATGAGTCGATGCAATCAACTGGTTTTCCTTAGATAGAAAACTTTGAATCAATTTGACTGTATGATCTGGTGAACTGTAAAGTGCCTTGAGATGACGTGTGTTGAGAATTGGCGCTATAGAAATAAAATGATTGAAAACAGAACCTAACACCTCAGCGTTGTAGGACAGAGCATAAACGCGGCTTACTATAGGATATTTGGACTTCAGGCTTTTGTGCATTTCTCTGAAGCGAGAGTAGCGTCTGAACACCGTCCATGTGTCGTCCATCACGGTAATCTGATAAAGATTGGAACATTTCATCACTAAGAATTCAACAGATAACATGATGATATATGATGGGAAAACTTGTTGGCTGTTAGTTTACCTAGGTTATGGATCCAGAAGGAGCCTTTGGACCTCAGAGACTTTTAGCATTTTCTGAGGCACTGAGCCAACACTGAATCTCTTCGAGAAGTTTTAGACAAGGAATGTTTAAAAGTTTCAGGACTAACAGTTGCATCTGGTGTAAAACCATAAATGTCATTAACACCGCTGAGAAAACATAAAACCAATGTGAAGATGTATATGCAATGAGTTTTGCTGCATTCCTTTTTAATTTTGTTTACATATTCACAAACTCTAATCTGATTTACAGACACCGTTAATCCATATTCATAAAAAGAAAAAAAACTGCTCAAAATAAATAAATATACAAATGAATTGTGAAACAGGACAACGTTTTTTATAGTTGATCCGCTCAGGTGGTCGTTCGAAACAAATTGCATCTACTAAACATAATGACGTCAGCAGAAAAAGAGGTATTATCAGTAAAACAATTGAAATACAGTCAGAGATCCAATGGTCGCAGGTTACAGGAATAACAGGCCAAGGAGATGAGGCCCTAACCCATCTATCCAACTCTATTCTGCTATACCATATAAACAAGGCACCTCAACTTATAAAAAAAACTCTGAATCCAAGGTTAGAAATGTGCTCTAATCTAGTTGAAGCTTGAAAAGATATCCCATGCTTTCCAAAACTGTTCCCAAGAAAAAGGACATAAATAAAACCAGACTCAAGAAAACTGACCCAAGCACTGAGCCATGTGGGATTCCAGAATTAACTTCTCTGCTTGAGGAAGAGTTTCAAATGCATCAAAGCAATTCAGACTAAACCAGTCTACTGCAGCTCCATTCATTTCTAGCACGTTAAATCTCTGAAAAAAATTTGATATCATCTGTACTAAATGCATTAACAAGATTTAACACAAATAATAGCTTGTCAACAATTGACAAGCTAATGAAATCATTTGATGTTTGGCAATAAAGTTGAATGATTTTGGATGGGTTATGACAAATGCAAAAAACAAAAACTGGATTGGTCCAAATGTGCTGACTGTGACTTATCTGTGTTGATGCTCTTGGCTGGCGCTCAGTGCATTTACCCCTATAGGATCATGATGTGGATGGCAGCCTGGCCAAACCTGGCCAGCGGTTGCCACTGTGCCAGGGACAGAGGGCAAAGCTATTGAGATGCACTCTGATGGACACAATGGGTGCGACAGACTTGCTGCATCAACAGGCTTTTTGCTGCTGTGGCCAGAAATAAACCATAAATACCCCCACTGGCATCCACCGACTGCTCGCCAGGCCTCCACAACCACACACACCCTCACACTGAGACAGGCAGGAAGCATAAAGAAAAGACCAAAAGAAAGACGGAGAGCGTGGCTTGTTCGGGGTGCAGTAAAGCACAAGCCATCCAGGTAAATAAATATCTTTCTTAAATGCTATAATAGAAGTTTTACTAAAAGAAAAAAAAAGATCAAGTATTGACTAGATGTTTGAAAATAGATGCCTTTAATCATGAAACGCATAGGTATTTCATTGGCCATATCCCCAAGATTTAAAGACAATATATGTTTCAAAACAATTATATTGTTGTTTTTGGTGTGTAGAACGTTGACCTACTCGTGAAATCGGTGTGTCACATCAGTTTAGAAGAAATGAAAATGGTAAAAATCACTATGATTGCTATTTTTGCTCTAAAGTATGTTGAATCTCTTTTCTTTGTTTCTAGAGAAGACATGACAGAACAGCAGGGAACCCCAGACCAGCTGCCTGCAGAGAAGGGCCAAGGAGGGGCTGGAGCCACATATAAGGTAGTTTTCTCTTTAATATCACCACCCAACTGTTGAAGTTACATAAATCTGTGTTTGGACCACAACATTTATCAATTAAACCCCCTTTTTTTTGCAGTTGGTTGTATTTGAGTTTGAGAACTTTCTTGGGAAAAAGGTGGAGTTGTCCGGTGAGTGTAAAGACGTGTTGGAAAAGACCCAAAGAGTTGGTTCGGTCATTGTGGAATCAGGACCGTGAGTGAATCTCTGTTGCTTATAATATCACATCTTGTTTTGAGTTTGCTCATGTTTCATTTTTTTTTTACAATATATCTGTATTGATAGGTGGGTAGGGTATGAGCGTATAGGTTTTGGCGGAGAGCAGTTTGTTCTTGAGAAAGGAGAATATCCACGCTGGAGCACCTGGACCAGTATGCAGAGTAGCAACACCCTAAACTCCTTCAGGCCACTACAAATAGTAAGTAGGGATTAGACACAGAACCTTCTCAGATTTTAAGTGTGATGTAAGGAAGCATTTTCTTTCTCTCCTTAGGAAAGTGCAGATCACAAGTTGCAACTGTTTGAGAACACAGCATTTGAAGGAAGAAAGATGGAGATTGTTGATGATGACGTTCCCAGTCTTTGTGCTCATGGCTTCCAAGACCGTGTGGCTAGTGCAAAGGCTATCTCTGGAACGTAAGATATAACATAACATTAAGGCTTCTAAGTCACGGGAATATTGGAGATGCTTAAACCAACTGTGGTGTAGAATATAAAAGCTAAAGGCTTAGAGCAAAAAAAAAACGAATGTACTTAATGCACTTTTAAAAGTTTACACATCCTTGTCAATTACAGATTTACAGATCCTTCTCTCATTCTTTCTTTTATGAAGGTGGGTAGGATATTCGTATCCAGGCTATAGAGGGCACCAGTATGTGTTCGAACATGGAGAATTCAAGCATTGGAACGCTTGGGGAGCCACTGCACCTCAGATCCAGTCCGTCCGACGTGTGCGCGACATGCAGTGGCATAAGAGAGGGTGCTACATTCAACCTGCCCCAGCCCCTGCCCCTGGTCCTGCCCCTGCCCCCGCACCTGCCCCCGGTCCTTTCCCTGCACCGCCCAAACCCAATCCAGATCCAAATCCCAATCCTAATCCTCAACCAACTCCCAAATCTCAACCACAGCCTTAACCCCAAAGATAGGCACCCTCACCACCTGAAGAAAGCTGAACACATCTGGTCAATCCCCCTTTTCTCCTGTATGCTTCTTATTGGGTGAAGTTTCCTGACCATGCAGCTTTGTAAAACTGAAACTGGCAAAATTGAAACATATTTCTGCTGGAAATAAAGGCTTAAGGCTTGACTTTGGCTATGTGCAGATCTGTTTCATAGTAATTATCTACTGTATAAAGGATTGCTTGGCACCTCCATTGGTGTGACAACTTATCAAAGTGATAAAAATACACATATAAAAACATCAGAAAGCCCTAAAGGGGTTTGTAGCTTTTGAACAGTTTATTTTTTTTTTTACTTTTTTTAAAGAAATTACAGCACCAATTCACAGCACATGTCATCTGAAGGCACTTTACAATTAAACATGATCATCCAGTAAAACTGATTCAAAATTTTCTATCTAAGGAAAACCAGTTGATTGCATTAACTCATTGACTTAAAGGCAATGCCTCACACAAAGCATGCTTGTAGTGACTGTGGGGAGGAAAAACTCTCTTTTAACAGGAATAACCTCCAGCAGAACCAGACTCAGTGTGAGCGGCCATCTGCTGAGGCCGACTGGGGTTTAAGGAGACAGAAGCAGACATAGAAATATACAAAAGACAGCTGTAAACCAGTTCCACAGGTGGCTGCATCCAGGTAACAGACAGCCAGGCAAACGACCTCTGAGCCAGCTTCCATGTCAGAGGGGGAAGAGAGCAGATTTAGCCGGTCACAATCAGAGAAACAGGACTATACTGAAAAACAGGTCAAGCTCCAACATCTATAAACAAAAGTGTTGATGGCAGCAGCACAGCTGATATTTCTCTCCAGGATGGTGTCACAACCAAACAGGAACAGACCAGATGAAGCTATGAGAATACCAGGGAGAGCATAACATTAGAGATTTAAATAACAAAGTCTGAATAGAGATAGAATGAAGCAAAAGCATTAGAAAGATTTATCATGAGTGTAAACAAAGTGAAATCGGTCAGATAGAAACGATTTAAATCAGTCTAGCGCTGTTCCTTTACAAAATATTCAAGTCTTTCTAAAAGAATATTATTATCAGCTCTATCAAATGCAGCACTGAGATCTAACAGGAAATGTAAAGATAAAAGTCCATTATCTCAGGCCATGAGAATGTCATTAGTGACTTTCACCAGAGCTGTTTCATGACAACTTATCAACAAAACAGGTTATCGAGATTGGGACTTTTTTTATATATATGTCATCCGTCTTTCTAAAATGAAAAATTGTGCATACAACAAAGTATTCACCTTTTAAATTCAAACTTTGAAAGGAAATGTGTCCTCATCGCCCCATTAATTTTTAGTGAAAAACTGGCATTGGTATACCCAAATTGTTTTTGAATAACTTAATAAACCTGTCATAAAATGACCAAAATCCTGACCAAAACCTATAACTTTCAAACAGAAATTTAACCATACGGCTAAAAAACATGTACGCACCCTCTATACCAAAGAGAAAGATAGAATGCAACCATATGCATGCATAGGTTACATCTTTTTGTAAAAATAAATATGATGTGGATGTGTGGAATTGATTATATTCTGACTTTTACTAACATGTCTTACATGTAATTAATTTGTGCATATTGTCTATTTTAATGCACAGTTGCCTGTTTTATCCCTCCTTTACTGCTGTTTACCTTGTTCTCTAAAGTTAAAATTTCTTGTTCATTTGTTTATAGCTGTCCAAATGTGCATTTTTCTATGACTCTTGAACTGCCTTTTTAGCAGTGGCAAGATGAGCCAATCTTGGGTAAATGTTTTATTGGGGCACAGAACATTTTAATTAAATAAAAAAAGGTGGACAATAGTTAAATATTTGATGCATTAAGTTAGCCTTGGAACCAAAGGGCAGCTTGGGAAACATCTGTGTCATTTAGTTAAATTCGACTTTTATCTTGTTTCAACTGAAATTATTATTCTTTTTTTTTTATGGTTTGAAACTATTAATTTAAATTTGCCTAAATTAATAATCCTGTACCAGAGAAACAATAACAAAAAACCCTGAAATAATTAGTAACCAAGTTAATATCTATCTCAGGTCTAAATGTGCTAGTTTTGCATGATCGAATGAAGTCACTCATATTTGTTGGTGAATGCTATCATTGGTGCAACACCATCCGAAAAGATACTGTTACAAAAAAACAACAACTACCCATTTTGTTACCCAGTATGCTACCCATAGTATTTAAAATTTTACAAAAGGAATGTGACTTTGTGTGTGCTTTTTGTGTGCTGTATTACTAAAATCATTAGACCTAAAGGGACAACACTTTAAAATCTTTGAGCTATATAAGACCTGTCTTTATGCTAAATAAGCTTGACAAAAATTAATTGTTGGGTTTTACAAATACATTATAATTAAAGTATGTGGATACAGATAAACTAAACATATTCTTTGGATTATTATTTTAATGTACATTTTTTTTCAGGAATAGCACATATTTTTGACATATTTTTTATTAAAATGACATCAATTGAACTGACAAACAATATACAAAATAAAACAGAAATGTAAAGGTAAAAAAAAATATTACCAAGGAACCAGTTTGATACAGTGCATGTCTGTATCAGTGTATATCATCATAATAGATTTATTTAGTATTATCTCTTAGGTACAGGGGCCACAACAGGGGCCAAGACCAGTTCTATAGGGGCTCTGGCTTCTTTCGGCCCCGGTAAAGAACCGCCAATGTTTTTTAGTGCTCTTATTTTAACTTTGTTTAATCAATATCTATGTTATCGTTTATTTTTATTTAATCTTTGTACCTTTAATTTTTCAGTGTGGGAGCTAACAAAGTTTCGTTGTAATGATGATAACCATAAACACCCCATCATGCTGTAATATATTTAAACATTGAAGACATATACTATGGAGGACCAACTCTGCCATATTTAAAAAGAAATACAGAAATAAATAAAGGCTCAATAAATAAATAAGCATACAATTAATTGCCACCAAAAATACAATAAACATGCATACAGAAATGTAAAAAGGGCAGGCAGAAATGTAAAAAGGGCAGACAGAAATAAATAGCGGCGAAGAAATAACTAAGATAAAAAAATACAAAGGAAGAATAAAACAGACAAAAATATTATAACATTCACATAAATAAATACTTAAAAATGTAAGTAATTAAAAAATAAAGTTGAAGATTATAAAGGACAGAAAAATAAATAAGGTAAATATTACAGAGGCAAATAAATAAAGAAGCTAATTTAAAGAGTTATATTCATTTATGTTTCACTGTATAATTTAATTTCTACTTACATTTATTTGTTTATTGTATTTTTGTTGGCAATTAATTGTATGCTTATACATTTACTGAGCATTTATTTATTTATGTATTTATTTTTAAATATGGCAGAGTTGGTCCTCCATATGTTCCAGGTCAGGCGAAAAAAACTACACTTTACAGGTTTCGAAGTGTGGACACTCTCCTCAGTGATGTAGGCCATCAGTGATTGGTTGGAATGCCTGACAGACCCGCCCAGAAACAGGAAGAACATCCAATAGCAAAGCACTTTCATTCACTTGGCTTATGACGTAGGCGTGAAACGCGCAAAATTTGAAACAGTATCCCGGAAATAGCAGCGGAATTAGAAGAGGTTGAGAGCATTTCTCTGCATTTATGTTAACTCTGCACCATTAATATATGCATGGCAGTCAGGTAAGAGTTAACATATATCAGCGCTTTGTTTATATTATGGATTTTAGAACGGTTGTAAGTGACGCTCGTTTGTTAGCAAACTAACGGAACGTTAGCTACAGTTAACGTAGCGCGAGCTAAATTAACGTAGTATTGACATTTGGTGTGCCTGGTTCTGTTTATTAAATAAAAGTTAAATATGGCGAGAGTTTACACTTCGAACAACCATTTGCTCTTCCATTTAGGTTATCCAGATTTAGCGAACCATGTTGAAATTTAAATATGTGGGTCAGGGAGCCCTGAAAACACCGTGTTCCTCTGCTGACCCCATCACCAGCCGCAGCTTGCGTCTCAACCAGGTTTTTCAGGTAAGGCTAGCAATTCTACGTTTTGCTGTGGCACATTTTAGAGCAACTGACTCGTTTCCCTTTTTTTGTCCTCTCTCCAGGGAAGAGTGAGCCTGTACGGCGGGCAGCAGGGAGGATGGAGCTTAGGACGGGAGGAGTTTCTGGAAGCGCTGTTACTGCTCTACCAAGAGTGTACATCCCCGGAGCTAATGAAGATAAAACATGTGGCAAAGTTTGTCCATAAATGTATGCAACTTTATCTAAATGCAATAACTAAAGAAAATGCTTGATAATGTATGCAAAAATACAACCTAAATGGAAGAGAGGCAAGTTACCTTTTTTGATAATTTGCATACCCCTTACAAATGGGTCCCTCAGTGAGGTCTAGAAGCACAAGATCTATATCCAGCCATTCCGCAAAGATGCTGCTACATGGCTGTACATCTTATTTTTTTTTGAATTGACCAATTAGATGAGCCCTTGTATGATATATTACCTACTGTAAATTAAGTGGAAAAATTGGGAAAATTAAAAAAGTTAAGTTAAAAAGTTAATAAGGATAGTTGACAATTGTATTTAGGTTTATAAACTAAAAAAATTAAGTGACGGTATCAGCATTAATGCCTCTAAGGTTGTGTTGTACCAGAAAATTGTGTTTATTTCACTCTCAGAGTCTTTTTCATGAATTTCTTATAGAAACACTTTTGTTATTTCTTTTAATATATTCAGGCAAGTTGATGTTTCTTGTTATTACATTGACATTCATTTTTGCCATCAAAATATCCATATTTTTGGAATGTTACAGAGATAAGGTGTTTTCCTGGATTCCAATAACACTATTTTCTTGAAGTTATAAAGGGTTAAGCTGTGTGAGACCTAAAGGTTGGACAGGTACACTTAAAAAGAAAAGCCTACTTCTGGTCAGAAGTTTCAGAAGTTGTCATGTTTTCATCATTAGATTTTCCTTTTGGTTTGTTTTAGACTTAAATTGAGTTCTTGCATTTTAAACTGCCACATCACAACATTTTAAAATTGATTCATAGCTAAATTCACTCTTTGAAATCATAAAAATCGAATTACAAATATTTTATTTGGCATGTAGGATATAATTTTTTTAATTATCCATGTAGTTGAAGCTTCGGCTGGTAAAATATTTATTTTCTCAGGTCTCAGTGAAGTTTAACGAGAGAAGTTTTGTATTAATTATGTGATAGTGATGTCCCTCCATCTTCTCATCCTTTCAACCATCTCTTTTCTTTGCTATCCTTCATCTGTTTGTCCATCCAATTGTTTGATCTTGTATCCATCCATTTGTCCAGTATCGTCCACTGACTTTTTAATTTGGTCATCTGACCTTCTGCTTTTCTAATCATTCTTTCTATTTAAGCATTGTTTATTTTTGATCTCAAATCAGATTAATTGTAATTTAGGTGATCTAAGTTGTTCCAAAGGTCAAGGTTTTATTTTTTGTAAATACATTTCCTAAATACCATTAAATAATTCTGGAAGAATGTTATAAACATCTGTAAAAGTGTGAAATTCTATTCAGGAATCCTAAATATCTCATAAAGGTTTTGCCTATGTCCTAATGCTTGTCTGCACAGTTTCTGAGGTGATCTCCGAGCTTCGTGCCTTGCAGCCTGCAGTGCATGACTTTGAGCTGCGTGCAGTGGTCGGCCATGGTCGCTTCTCTGAAGTCCAAGTTGTGAGAGAAAAAGCCACAGGAGATGTGTGTGCTCTGAAAGTGATGAAGAAGTCCGTGTTGAGCTCTCAAGAAAATGTAAGATGCCTTTCTTTGATTTGTATAAAAAAAATGACAGATTTGCAAAATTTAGACAACACATTTTAAGGAAAATTAGGTATGTAAAGTCAGACCAAAAGTTGTTTTGAAGCTGCACTCTTTAAAAGACTCAGAGGGGTGCGCTGTAGGGCTGAATATGATTAGGAAGTGTGGGTATGGTATTTCACAGCTGTGGTCTCTGGCATATGACTAATAGAACAGATTTCTGTCAGAGCAGTATGAGCAATGGCAGAAAATGTTGAGAAGAGAGCAACCGACTGAAAGACTGAATGAACAAGTAATGTTTTATTAATGTCACCTGTAACCACCTTGCCTCAGTTGACATTTTATAGTGTAGAGTAAGAACTAAAAACTATTCTAGGGGATATAGTGAGGATTTGGAAAATCTTGTAAAAAAAGTGATTAATCGGTGTAGATTTAAACAGCTGAGTGTCTTTATGGTGATTTTGTTGATTTGTTTTTCATATTTTTCGGTATTCTTTATATTTTTTTATTTCTGCTATAAAACCACTTTGTAATTGAACTGACCACTCATGCCATACTGACCCATTCTCACACTACATGTCACGTACACTCATTGGCACCCAGTTTCGCACAGTTTTCTCAGATTAGTGGGTAACATGGAAATCTGCATGATAAAGGGGGGAACTGGAAAGAAACTTGCCTCCCATTTACCAGACTGTTTGCAAATGCAGCTCTTAGGATCAATGATTATACCTGTGTTATTATCTCTTAATATAAACTGCTTTGTTTAGATTATTTTTGAAAAGAAGGACGTTTTTGACCTCATCCCTTTGTCGCTGGGGTTTCCTTCATTACATGTACAGTGTCCCACTTAAGATTTCCATTGTTCTTATAGTTGCGTCACGTTAAGAGTTGGTTTTTTTTTATCCACAATTTCAAATATCAGATATAAATAAAAATTGGCTTGTTGAATCTTAAAAAAACTAATCCGATTGAAAGGTTGGGGTTTAACCTTAATAATCTTAAAAACTCTATTCGCTGATTTGAAAATAAATTCTGGAAGGATAATTGAATCAAATTCCTCCATGGACATGTGAGACTCAATGCAAAAAATCCCAAGCAGCTTAATGGCAGTTGTTATTGTCATGAGTGAAAACCAGCTTGTTGATTTCTTAGTTCCAAGTTGGTTTGGAAACGTTTTCTTTTAACAAATAAAGTAATGTGAAAACTACATTTTTGTATTTACTTAGCTCCTATAAAACATCTTAAATAATAAATGTCTGGGGATATTAAAAAAAAAACGTAGGAGATACTGCAATGCTTGCCTATCCTGTTTTACTTCTTTGCAGATTGTCTTTCATGAGGAGGAACGAAGGATTCTGGCTTTGAACAACAGTCCGTGGATCCCACAACTTCTTTATGCCTTTCAGGATAAAGATCACGTCTACCTGGTGAGCCTGCAGCATGTTTAATCCAAGGGTTTAAGATTCCTCAAAATTATTTCTGTTTAACTTTTGTTCTGGTATCTGACGGTCAGGTTGCTGCACCAAAGGAATAAAGCCAAATTTGCCCCATAAATGCAGTAAATAAACAGGGTAACAATTTAAGGTAACTAACAAGGTGCATTCAGAATGAATGTGTGATTAGTTGTGTTCACTGTAGCCTATGCTGTATTTATACTTTTAGAACTTAGCATGTCTCCTGTTTTTAATGATCAAAATGAAGGTCATGTTACTTCAGGGCTTTCAGTGCCTCAAATGAACTGTTCCATTGTTTGTGGTGGTCGGATAATATAATATTCAGCCTAAGATTTTATGATCAAATAGATAAACACACAAAAACATTTTTGTGACAACAAAAGGTGACAACCTATGTTTGTTTGTTTTTTTCACCACACAATGCTTATTTCTAAAATAACTTAAACCAACATAACAGATTATCAAAGCGGTGAACAAAAAAATAAGCAAATAATACAGAAAACATTAACTAAAGAATAAAATATGTTCCATATTTTTGCATCAATCTGACCAGTTATTGGATTACCTTTCCTGGCAGAATTGGTCAAACCTATTTACATGAGTTGGTTAAGATTGGTTAGTTGGTTAGGCTGACCTCATATCAATGCCTTGATGGTGTAAACTTGGACTGATATTGGACCATTTAGGCCACTTATTTTAAACTCTTATAAAAAATGTTTTAGAGGAATTAAATAGGCTATTTTCGAGCTTCTAGAAGGACCTTAAAACTTTCGACTTGAATAAATAACTGTAAATAACTTTGAAAAAAAGATTCTGAACAAAAATGAATAATAAAGATGCAAATTTACTATTTTAATATAAACAAGGGAACTCATTAACTCATCTCACACTATGTGAAGTGTTATATTAAGTAGAGATTCTGCAAGACTCCCACAAATCATTTGAACCCTTTTCATGATTTACACCATGACTCATGCTGTTTTTCTACCAAAAAGTGTCTCTTTGTTTTTTGAATTTGTGAGGTAAGCAGCTGTACTTATGACCAGACGTTGGCTTTTTTTATCTACAGCGTTGCTCAAAAGTTTATTTAAAGAAAGAAACTTTTCAACAAAAATGTTTCTTTCTCAGCCTCTAAAGGACCTTTATTTTGTTACCTCAGCCTCTAAAGGACCTTTATTTTATTTCTCGCAGTTTTATTTTTACCTTGTTGGAAGAAAAAAACCCCACATGGGCTGAGGTTGAGGAAAAATAATTTTCTTCTCAGCATAGCCGTGTTTTTTTTCTGTTTCCTTTCCCCTATATATCTTATTGCTTGCCCCTTGTGTGTCACTCTCAATTCTTCCTCATCGTCTTTTCACTCCCCCTCTTTCCCACCCTGCTCACTAACTGAGCGTGGACAAAAATACAAAGCATCCATCTTTATCCGTGTGTCAGAGAGGCTCCCAGTCTCTCTGTTGCTAGGTAACACTGGAGAAAGCTCCCGTTCATTCAGACTCTCAGACCATTCATGCACCAGGGGCTCTTGCCCGTTATGGGTGTGTGTGTGGAAGCAACCGAATGGCTCCAATCAACTTGGCCAGTTTCTTTCTCGTCAGTGAGGAGAAGATTGTCAAAATAAACTTCAGTGATTCCTTTTGGTTTCGTAGTAATTTTTTTGTTTACGTAAAAAATCGATAATGATATTCCTGGCTTGTTGGCTTCACTGGTAGTATTTGCTGCTTTGATCACAGCAACATAAACTGCACAGGGATTTTGCGGGTATTCTATGTCTATTTTTAGCAATTCTTTGACTGCAGTATCAGAGATAAATCAGTAACGGTATCCGCACCTTACATAAGGAATTTATAACGAGGAAAAATACCCCACAGCTTTGATGTGAGCACAGATAAATGTGGTTAATAAATAAGCTTGTAGCATTCAATCCTCCATTAACTGGAATCAGGCACCAGCTTAAATTCTATTTAAAAAATCTTGTTTTGTTTTGGGCTCCATTGATTAAATGTTTCCAACTTGAAAGCAGCCATCTTTTTTATCTGTAAATATAACAACAAACAGATTAGTATGTTTTACATTAAGTAAAAATTTAGATTTTGATACAAATGCATCTATGGTCAAAATGGGATAAATGATGATCGAATTTCCATCTCTGGACATTTGCTTGATGCATTTCAGATTATTTTGTTAGTTAAATTTGCTTACTGAATACTGGGAACATACCCGGTTCTAGACGGAGACCAACGGGGGCCATTGCCCCTTTAGCCCTGGTCCTGGCCACTGTACTGGAAACATAAACTGTAAAAATTCTAATTCAATTTTTTTTCTGGAATAGGTAAATATTACCTGGATTAAAGCAGGTAGGGAAGTCATCTTCTAGATGGAATAAGATGATTTATGCTTAACATATGCTAGAACATCTCTGTTATCTGCTCAAATTAAGGGCATTTAAACAAATTTGAATAAACGTTTTTAAATCAATTTTTGCAGGACAATATTAAATACATCACTTTTAATAGGCGCTACAAAAAGAGATCACAACTGATTTTCCCTTTGACCAATTCGATAATTCATCTTTACAATTTACTTGAACAATTATTTAGAAATTACAGAAATTTCAGGTTTGTGGCTTAAACTACAAAAACTTGCTTTTGCTCTGTTTATTTATGTGTGTGTGTGTGTCTAATTTTTTTCTTTGCCCCCATTTAAAAAAAAAAAAAAAAAAAAAAAGAACATTTGCCCCATGGTAAATTTAATCTAGAACCGGCCCTGAGTGTGAAGACCTAACAGTCATGTTAAACCCACATTTTCTTCGCTGCTCCTTTTCTTTGCTTTCTTCAGGCCAAACTGTCTGGGTTTTATAATGTTAGATACGATACACTAAAGAGAAAGTCCATCAACGCTGCCAGAAATGTTGGTTAGCAAGAAAAAAAGGTTGGCTTTAAGTATCATATCCAACTGAATATTACAGCAATTAGTCTTTAGGTTACTATGCAATAAAAAAAAAGGAGCAGAGGAGAAGCACAGTTGTGTTATATTCTGCCTTGGATTGTGTATTCCTGTAAAGTTCTGTCATATTTAGTTTTATGTATTAAATATATTTTTTCCTGCCTCTTTCTGTTTGTCCCTGTTTGTGTCTTTAGGCCATGGAGTACCTGCCAGGCGGTGACCTGATGTCTCTGTTGAACCGCTACGAGGATCAGTTTGATGAGTCAATGGCTCAGTTTTATTTGGCGGAGCTGATAGAAGCCATTCATGCAGTCCACCTGCTGGGATACGTCCACAGGTTAGACACTATTTTCTCCTTAGTGCTTTTCACTCTGTGTTTGATTTAAAAGAAAAGTCACAACAGTTTTTTTTTTTATGTTTGTTTTTTTCCTTCTCTGTTTTTCACTTAATTGGTTTTCGCTTCTAAATTGGAAAGTGTGAGGTGTAAAAATGATGCTGATGTTTCATAATTTGCTCCATTAAACTTAGAGGAGCTGACATGTTAAAGCACTGAGGCAACAAAAAGCATTTTAAAAGCAGTATCAAATGTCCTATAAAATATTCTCTTACAGAGATGTCAAACCAGAGAACATTCTCATCGACCGGACTGGTCACATTAAGCTCGCCGATTTCGGATCAGCCGCCAAGTTGACTGCAAACAAAACGGTAAGTCGATTAAAGGGTGTGGATTTAGGAGTTATTGGCAGTGACCTCATCAAAATCTGCGGCTTGGAGGAGAATCTTAAATTATCTTGTAGAGTAAAATTATTTTCACAGTGATGTTTAAAAATGAATGCATAACAGGATTTCACAAGTTTAATTTAGAAGGCCTTGCTAACGGTAGTTTTAAAGGAGTTTTGCATCAACAGGAGTGATGGGTGATGCTTGTTTAGTTTCCACACTTTGACCCTTTTCAAAGATGGAAATATTTAAAACATCCCCAATGGAATTTTCTTTAAGGATGAGAATAAAATTCAGGATTCTGTTTATTTGCCAGCTCACCAGCAGTGTGTAACACTAGATACCAGACATTAAGTGTAGCATTACTCTAGTTTTCATGCACTTGCCTCTTTTTCTGACATCTTATTGCAATGAATTTAAATCAAGTGCTCAGTGAAATCTGAAAAAGTATGAGTTTGTTTATTTCACATCTTTTTTTTTAATGCACACAGTAAAAGGGGGGGGGCAACAATTTTATTCCATTTGGTCTTAAGATTTTTGATTAAATGTCAAATAAAGCTCTAAAACCGCACTTATTTTTACTAGTCAGATAAAAATAAACTTATTTTAAGTTAGGTTTTATGAACGCTGTAAAACACAGCAGTGAAGGGCTTTATAAGCTATATTTAAGAAAAAAATGACGTTCTCCTTGGTGCTGGTAACACAGTTGTCAATTTTACAGGTAATCGCTGCCACAGTACCTGTTGGAACCCAGGACTTCCTCTCCCCAGAGGTCCTGGCGGCCATAAGCGGGGGCCCTAACAGCACCTATGGGCTGGAATGTGACTGGTGGTCCCTTGGAGTCATCGCCTATGAAATGATCTATGCCAAGTCGCCTTTTTCTGACGGCACATCTACCAAGACCATTCACAACATTCTGAACTTTCGGGTAAATAGTCAAATTCTCTGTTAAGGGGAGCATTAAAAAACGAAAAATAAATGGTATTATTTCAGGTACTTGTGGCCGACTAGTTGGAGCAGGAAGCTTGTGTTCAGAAAAAGAACCACCATTCCTGTTTGAATACCACAGGCTGCCACTAGGAGTCCCTGAGCAAGTCCATTATCCCATTAATGGGATTAGCTCAATGCTGATGACTAATAAAGATGAAGCGTTGATTTATTATTAAATAGCCATCATGTTTCCCTCCAGCGTTACTTGAAGTTTCCAGAGGAGCAACATGCCAGCAAGCAGTTTGTTGACTTGGTGCAGAGTTTGCTGTGTGGAGCCAAAGAGCGTCTGGGTTACCAGGGACTCCGGTGTCACGCCTTCTTTTCAAGTGTAGACTGGAACAACTTAAGACAAGGTAACACAATTTGTTTTCAACCTTGTAGAAAAGAGTTGGACAAAGGACTGAAGTCTGGTTGTCAAATTTACATACCGAGTGTGGATGGATATAATTGTTTTATGAAAAAAGCGTTTTCAGTTGTAAAATAATGGGATTCTGTGAGGCGCTGGCAGCAGGCCAGGTCCTTCTATAGATGGAAGATTAGTTGAAGTCTTGCGGTAAAGATCTGCAACTCATCTGGTTCTCAACAGAAAAAGCACAAATACAGCAGCATGCTTTCGATAGCAGAAACACATTCAGCAAAGGCTTTACTTTACTGTCTTTGTTCAGTTTGATAGCCTCAGCTGAGCAGCTCTTGGAAAACGCTTTAACCGTCTAATAAACATTTTCTGTCATTACACACATCCCTGTAGGAAGTGGGGCTTGTTTGTCCTCCACTAAATCATTGTTCTTGTGTCCTTAGATGAGGATTCGCCGACAACATTATGTAATATGTAAAAGATTGTCATTTTACACTCATTGTTTGAGAGATTTTTGAATACCTAAATGAATTGTTCTGCAAAAAAGAAACAACTTTTAATGCTGTCTTTTGATTAAACATAAAACACTCTTATAGTATCACATGAATACATGTTTGCATTGGATACTTACTCCTTGTTTAATTACGGTCCGACACAGATGGAGGTTTTAGCTTCAGCTGTGACTCCAGCTGATTAGCTTGCTCTGCTGCAGTGAGGGAGAGCAAGTGAGCATGTGTATGAAAGGAGAAGAGAGGAGGAGGGAGGAACAGAGGCAGCATGTGCATCAACTCGCGACTTGCCGCACTCTAGGCTCCCACCACACTTCTCCTCCCCTCCTTTCTCTTTCCTTTCTCCTTGTATTGTTTTTTTTTTTAACATTCTTTTTAAACTACCTTTTTTTTTTTTTTTTTTTCCCGCCCCCTCCTGTTCCCTCCTCTGTCATCCTTGTGTTCTTTCAGTTCCGCCGCCGTTCGTCCCTGCGTTGCATGCTGAGGATGACACCTCTAATTTTGAGGAGCCGGAGCAGGCTGCCCCCTGGCCAGCCTCAGCAAACCAGCGAGGAGCTGTGCCAGCAGGCTTTCAGGGCCAGGATCTGCCCTTTCTAGGCTGGTTCTTCAGCAGGGCTTTAACAGCATTGGCCAAGTCTGAGTAAGTGCTACCTGTTTACCAGCATGTATGTGATGTAGATTAAATCCTCAGTAACCATCTCACAGATCCTTCCCATTTATCTCCGTTGTTCCTCAATTAATAATGGGTGCTTTGCTGCTATTGGGGTATAGTTTGCAGGTAGCCCTCCTGCAGTTGACCCTGCATTGTGGCCTGGGCAGCTGGTCTTGTCTATGTCAACAGTTCGCCGCCTGGTGTGGTTTAAAAATAATTTCTCCATATAACGTGAGAAAGAGGCCAGGAAGGACAGGAGAAAACATCTTATTTCGGATTTTATTATTTTATTTTATTGTGTTTTTTTTTTTTTTTTTGTATGTTTTGGTCTGTTTTGTGTCTTTTGAGGGCACACATGGTTCATGTGATGCATAGGCAGATAAAACAAATGAAGCAGAGGAAGCCGGGCTGCGTTATCCTTCCATGAACACTGATTGGTATGCGGCTGAGTGTGTCAGTGAGGTCTGCCGAGACGTGGAACCCCACACACAGGCACACTCCCACCATCGCCTCTGTTGTTGTGGTTTCACTGCGAGGCACAATGAGCTCCTGACTTTTACGGTGTAAGCTTGGGAATGTAATTTATCCTAATGGTATTGTTTCTCCACCTCTGATAATAAAGCATGAGGGTGGGTTTCAGTTCTTTAGCCCCCCCACCCCCCCTCCGAGCCGGTGCTCTCACCAGTTAATGGTGCTGGAGACTGCGGATCATGTCAGCAGCAGCAACAGAAAGGGAATAAAAAGCTTTAGCAGATTAGACGGGGGGGAAAAAGGCTGAGAGCTCAGATTGAGGGAGAAAATCTATTTCTATGGTTACAACCCCCCCCACCCCCTTCTTTACCAGTCTTATCTCCTCCTCCTGTTTTCTCCCTCTTCCAATGTCTCTGTCCCTCGCTGTTACAGCATCTCTCATCTGTTAGAGCTGTTTAACTGAAGCCAGTTATTTTCTTTGCTGCGTTTGACAAACCCAAACAATCTGAAAATACATAACCTCTGAATCCTCACTCTTTATTGCAATTCCCCCCTCAGAAAATAAGTGAAATGTCAGGGCATAAAATAATATGCTAATTATGTGTTTCCTGTCGTGTGTTCTTTTTTTTTTTTAACGTTGACTGACTGCCTGACACCTCATTAAGACACAACTACACCAAATCCCCTTAACAGCTTGTCTCATACTTCTAAGAATCCTCATGTAGCTTAGTGCCAAATATGTATGTATGCTTTATTTTGTTTAGTCTATCAGTTGCATATTTGGTTTGATGAGTGTTCCTTGTCTACAGTTCAACTGTCCATAGTAGATTAAAAAGTCTGTCTGGGGTGTCATCTAACACTTTGGTTTAGAGTATGATATGTTGACAGCTCCTTATTAAAATTCCCTGAATGATACCAGATGGCTGGCAGGGTGTAAATTTTTCTTCTAAGTCTCCAGAGGAGAGGTTATATTCATTTAGCTGACCATTTGACTCATTCAATGCTACAACATGGTGTAAGGTTACTGTTTAGTGTACTTTGTGGGCAGCTAATGCCTACATTTTTGAAGATATCTGCCGAGTACGGTTACAAGCTTTGAGTTCTTCGGGCCTACTTTCTGACCAACGTCAACGTTCCTGCTGCATTTATTGTTCAAGCGCTTATTACACAGAATAGGGCTACACAATACATCACCAGCATATCATTGGGCTGAAATAGGTGTCTACTTTATCAGCAGGTTATCCCACCAGAAACAAGGTACATTACCAGAAATAATAAAGGTCCCAAAGGGTGTTGAAAGGTAGAAAGCAATGAATGATTAAAGAAGACAGAGAGAGGCTTTTGATATCTTTATTGCAATAAAATATCCACTATTATCGCCATTAAAGATATTCCAATACTGTGCGGATAAGACCACACACAGAATATTATATCCATTTGCTTATCTGCAGAGTAACACAAGTAGACCAAGCTGAAACTAGCTGTTAATTAGCCAGTCTATCTGCTTAGGTAGCTAGTCTGCAGTTAGCTGTTTACATTGCCAACAGGTGCTTTTACTGGTAATTCAGTGTTGCTATAACAGTATTGATAGCTTGGACTTCTTTAGTTACTTTAAGTTTTTCACAGAAATTTCTCCAATCTACTGAAAATTCCTTTGGATGAAGGTTGAAGAAAGCGGTAGAAGCCCACTTTCAGTCTGCTGACACACAGTGTGCAGTAAAAAGTGGGGGAGGGGCCACATTTAATTACTCTATGTACCATACAGCCAAAAAAAATACCCGACTCTCTGTTACTAGGATCTCATTCTAAGTAGAAATGGGATAACTGACAATCTATGTGGTTCTGAAAGCATAACTGATTAAAAACCTTTGTACGCCAAGATATTGTTAACCAGACCGTAGTCTGATGAGTTTATGGATACCGATCATTAATTCACAATTTTCTATATAATATGAACTTGTGTACAGTTTTTAGATACTTTTTAGGATATCAAACAGTTTATCATCTTCATGTTTAAACTGCTACTCTAACCTTTTAGAGTTCACTCTTTAAAATGAGTCATTTCTACAAGCTGAAAAGATATTTTTATGATGGATATTGTTCACTTTTATTTTGTTATCTTTTATTCATTTGTTTGTTTTTTAAAATCAGGCTTGATGGTAAAGGATCCGATTGTCAGATCAAACTGATTCATTAGACGTCATTTCTCAGATAATGCTTTGGTGATGATTTCTTACTGTCGGAATCATTTGTCTTAAGATTGATTTACTTCTTATTGTGCATTTCTCTTGGATTATAAGCATATCCTGTGCATTCACCAGATCAATGCTAATAAGCCTTAAACATGCATACCTTATGGGTGTTCCTGTCTTTCATCGATTCCCTCTCAGTAATGCAGTCTACACTGAATCTTCATTTATTTTTCAGCCACAGTTCAAAGAAATGACAACCACCATGTTCTTTGACTACACAGCGCTGGCCTGTACTTCACACAAATGTTTAATGCAAAACCTGCCAAGAAGACGACGTAAGAAGCCTGAAAGTTGAGAGAAAGACGCCCCTTTGATGCTGTCAGTTTTATGAAATAAATGGAAAAAAATTTTTTTATAGACCCCAGGACATAGAGACTCAGTCTGTATACTTTATATATTTACAATATTATTTGCATATAGTCTCAGTTTTTATGTGTAAGTAAAGCATAATCCTGTTAGCTTCTTGTTGGCTTTTGGTTTTCCTCAGGAATCCCAAGAAATAAGGGCCTGATGTGGTGTTTCAGGTTTTATTTAGCAGAGCTCAATGTGAGTGGGTGGGGGATTCTGCTTATATAATGAACTATATGTTCCGTGTATTGATATATTTCAGGGAGAGCACTCCTTACTGCGGAGCAGGGCTTGCTTTGTCTGTTTTTTCTTTTTCCTAACACAGTGACTCTTTTTTTCCTAACACAGTGACTCAGGCTGAGTCAACTTTGTTATCCTTTTGCAGTGTTTGTAAATCCATTCATAACCGTTTGCTCATTTATCCAAAAGCTGCTGCTCAGAGTTGTCTTCTCTCCAGGAAGGCAGATTAAACTGAATTGCCTGTTTATTTATGATATTCCAAAGGAAAGGAATCAGGCGAGATAAAAGCACTGCAAAGTTAAAAATAGACCCATGGTAAACAACAACACAATCAAAATTCTGCTGTCACATTATTTTGTCAGTGAGAGAGGAAATATTTCCATGCCTGCATCACTATTTCTTGTTTCCACTGCTATTTGTAGTTGTTCCGAAAAAAACATTGAACAGAAAATACACAACAAAAAGCTTTCATTCTTATCCCCCTAACTGTTGGCAGGAGTGTTATTGCCGGACCAGATGAACCTCTAAATGGAAGGAATTGATTCAAGGCAAACCTTGATGTTGTTTTCTTTGCTTCATTGGTTTTTACAGGCTATAAAGAAATATTATAAAGCTTTTCTATTATGATTGTTGTGTTCTTGTTATGTGAGGGGAACTAAAAAAGAAAGGATGACATTTTAAACAGTGTAAAGGGTTGGATAGCATCCTTATTTGGCTTAGGCTGAATCAAATTTCTTGGAGTTTATTTCGTTCCTCAGTATCTTGGCACCTAGCAGCTTTTAATTGGAAAAGCTTATAATGTATTTTTAGTGTATATAAAGAATAAAATACAGAATGAAACCTAGAAAGAAGTTTTTACTGTAATGCATCAAAGATCTTTTTTTTTTTTCTTTGCAAACATACAAATATTTTTTTGTTCTAAATACTAATGTAAATATACAAATGAAAGCTTCACCTTAAGTATATTCAGGTGGAGTTTAATCTATTATGTTTATTTCTTATCCCCCCAGGATAATACAACAGAATACATCAATCCTCAACTTGACTAATTATTTGTAGAGATAGACTAAGGCAGTTTTTTTTTTTTTTTTATCAGGCCAACCGATTCCTGATATGTGCTGCTGTTTAGTATTGCTTGGGAGACTTGAAGTCAGAATTGCTTTTTTTTTTTACATGATAACTATGGAAATTGATAACGAATGTCATGCAAATTTCAGTTTGGATTGTTTTTGGACTATAGGGGCCTTTAATTATTTTTGACAGAAGGCAGACTTGTTATGCGATCAGAGAGAGGGGGAAGACTTGCAGCAAGGGTCAACATGCCGGAATTTGAACCTGTGATGGCCACGGTGATGACCATAGCCTCTGTTCATGGGTCCTGCGCCCAGCCCCTGCAAAACAAAGATTTATTGATAAATGAAGCAAATCATTGAAAAAAAAAGGGATAACTATGCTATGGCATGGCCTGTGAATGTCTTCATGAATCAATGAAAGCATGCAGGTACAGGCCATACAGGGGAAAAAAATCAGCCCATCTCTGTTTATCTTTGATTATATTTGGACTTCTTTAGAGGGGGTGTAATTAATAACAAATAAAGATCGTGTTTGGACCGAACTGTAACATTTTCAATGTATAATATTTTCCCTCTTTTTAAAACTGGATACACTGATAGCAGTGATACCACATGTAAATGAAACTAATATTGCAGTAAAGCCGAAAATGCTTAATTTGTTTGGTTTTGCTCAGCAGGAAGGAATTTACTTAAATGCACTAATAATTCTCTCCATGTGTCTCAGGTCAGTGTCTGCAGGCCTCAACTCTCCTGCTAAGACCAACTCCATGGAAAAGAAGCTTCATCTTAAAAGCAAAGAATTACAGGACACTCAAGACAAATGCCATAAGGTAGGAGCACAAATCCATGCTTTGTTTCATCACAGTTAATTAACATTTTATTAATAGGGATTAGCTTGATAAAGCTCTTCTTTCCAGAAACACATTGTAGGCATTTCATGCAAACCAAAGTTACTAATTCCTTTACTGGAAACTGTAGAGTTCTGTTTCCATATTTTAAACAAAACTGTCCTACAAAGGGGTTTTTATTAGCAGGCTTGTTGTGTTTATTCTGGCAGACTGGCTTTACATGGATCATGGAAGCTTCTGCTTGTGCTTCAATAAGCCAAGATAATCTCCTTGTTGGTAAAACATCACAGCATCGTAATTTGCGGACTTCTCGGTGGTCACAGAAATCACTAATCTCAGTCAGAATGAGTTTCACCAGCCAAGTGGGAGTTGGCAGACAAGCATAGTGATGCTCATTCCTTTTTAATACATATGTTTTATTTATATATATATATATATATATATATATATATATATATATATATATATATATATATATATGTATGTTTAATCTGCACTTGAAGACAGTGACTAACACGCTTTCCTTGATGCATTAAGATGGAGCAGGAAATCTCCAGGTTCCAGCGCAAAATGACTGACCTGGAGTCAGTGCTCCACCAGAAGGATGTGGAGCTGAAGGCGTCCGAGACTCAGAGAAGCATCCTTGAGCAAGACCTCGCCACCTACATTACTGAGTGCAGCGTGAGTCATACTACCAGCTCATTGAGATATGTTTGTAGGCCGTCTGAGAAAGTATGAACGTGATTCTGTAAAAGGAGTGATTGCTCACTAACACATCTGTTAGGTTTTTACACTACTGACTGCGTTGATTGGGTTGTGTGTTCCCATGCTTGCTTCTGCAGAGCCTGAAGCGAAGCCTGGAGGAGGCACGCGTCGAGGTCTCCAGAGAAGATGATAAGGCCTTGCAGCTGCTGCACGACATCAGAGAGCAGAGCAACAAGCTGCAAGAAATCAAGGAACAAGTATGTTTTGTGGTCATTTTCTTTTCAAGAAGTTGGAATCTTTAAATCTGTCGTTAATTTTGTCGTTTTGCTCTAAACTATGACTAAAGTAAACTAAAGTTTTGCTCTAAACTATGACTGATTAAAGTGGAGCACTTGAAGAAAGAGTGACATTATATGTTATATATAACTCTAAAGTCTAAAAATATCCCTCCTGTGTGTGTGGGTGTGTTCTTGCTTTACCTACAGTGTAGGGACTTGCAGGTGCAGATGGGGCATCCAGGTGTAAATTCAGTTTAGGTCAGGGTTAGTTAGATGTTGGTAATGGTTATGGTAAGGGTCTGGGTTAGGCCATGTAAAATGAATGTAAGTTAGTGACACGTCCCCATAAATCATAAAAACAAAGCTGTGTGTGTTACACTGACAGGGCTTCCCCTTTGGGTGTCCCACAGTCATAAAGGTCATCAGAGCAGATGGCATCCCTGTACGGTTCAAAACATGACCAAGAGGTTCTCCCAGCCACCACGCAGAGGCAGGACACCCATTAATTAGACTGGCTTGATGCACCAAGACTTCATATAACAGATGCATGTAAAATGTTAGGATCTACATCAATGTTCTATTATTAAAGCAGCTAGGTGGCTCATTGTTAATATTTAATTGATTGATTGACTTTATTGATCTCACAGTGGAGAAATTTACTCGTTACATCAGCTTAATAGTCAAAAAGAAGAAGGTGCCAAAAGGAAGACAAGGTGCATGGGGTATATACAGTATATACAGTGTGTCCACACACACACACACACACACACACACACACACACACACACACACACACACATATATACATATATATAGCTGATGTCTCTTAATTAACAGGATTATTATACAGTGTTGTTGCACAGGGTATTAAATAGAAATTCCATATTATGTTATTACCTTTGTAGTGTCGCACTGTAGAGTCTGGTTGCAGCAGGGATGAATGACCTGCGGTAGCACTCCTTTTTACTAACAGGGTGACAAAGTCTTTCACTAAAGGAGTTGTTCAGCTCCACTTGAGGGTAGAAGGTGTTGTCCATGATGGACGTAAGCTTGGACAGCACCCTCCTTGCAGCGCAGCCTAGGACAGAAACGGCCTTTCTCACCAGTTTGTTCAGTCTCATTCTGTCCCCCTCTACGCTGCCAGAGGCCCAGCAGACGACAGCGTAGAGGAGGACTGATGCCACCACAGAGTCATAAGAGGTTTTAGCAGGGGCCGGCACACTCCAAAGGACATCAGCCTCCTCAGGAGGTGGAGGCGGCTCTGGCCCTTCTTGTACAGGGGGTCCGTGTTATGAGTTCAATCCAGTTTATTATTGATGTGAACACCCAGGTACGGTATTTGAAACTCCCCACAGTTTCTATGTCTTGCCCCTGGATGTTCATGGGGGAGTTACCGGTAGGTGGGCGTCTTCTCCTAAAGTCGACCACCATCTCCTTCATCTTATTGGTGTTAAGACACAGGTGGTTCTCCTCACACCAGTCCACAAAGTACATGATGACCGACCGGTACCCCAGTGTGTCCGAGGTGTAGAGGGTGAAGAGGTGTTCTGGGGGGGGGGCACGGTGCTGCAGACACGGGCCCTCCAGGGCACCGTTCTGTCTCAGTTCCTCTTCACCCTCTACACCTCAGACTCACCTCATTCAGATAGAGTTCAGCTCAAGAAATTCTTCCTAAAAGAGCTTAATTTCTTGTTGGTTTTTAAAAAATGTCCCCAACTATTCCAGGATAATAAAATGTTAATGTTGTGGAAAGTTGAACTATTAGGGATTTTAGTTTCAATTCTGGAGCTTTTACTGAAGAACTGTCTCAAAGTACTGCAGTTTCAGATGAAGAATGCAGAGTGAAATGGTGTCAGTCGATCTGGGAGGCATGCACAGCACTGGCTGTCTGCACTCAGATCTCAGTTTTTAACGTATGCTACTTTTTCCATACTTGAAATCAGCTAGGCATGTCTTTTTTAGGACTTTTTTTTAAAGCTTTTGTCTTCGGTTCAGTCATTAAAATCAATTCCATATGCCCTAACATTCAACAGCTTTGAAGAGCAGTAAAATATCCCACATGCTTCACCCACCAGTGACGCTCTGCATGCAGCAGTAAGGCTTTTGGTGACAGATGGTTTGTGATATTTTCCCAAAGATGCATCTACGGCAACTGTCTTCAATAAACTAATAAGTTCCTTACAATGTCTTCTTATACAGAGCAGTTTCCTGGAATGCTAAGCTAGTTTTGATAGGACTAATTTAACATTTAGTTTAAAAGGTTTTTCGGGGGTTATTCCAGGTAATAAAGACCAGACAAACCTTAACAGAAAAATGTAGCACTGTGCTTTAAACGACATTAAATTTATTGGCTATTATTTTAGCTCCTTCTCTGCGGTTTCCTGTTCTTAAACAGCTGTCTGGGAATGTTGGAGTTCAGCATGCAGAGTGGATCACTCGCCAACAAGAAATATAATCGGCTCTTCTTCACTGTTGGTAATGATCTGTTAAAGCCCCTGTCACACCTTCGACAATTTAGTCAGCGTATGCCTGATGTCCCAGAATGTTCTAAAACACTGGCATGCACTGAACTTTCCATTTGTTTTTTTAATTTGTTTTTATTTTGGGCATATACAAAGTGTATTTGTAATGAGTCCAGAACTTATGTCCAACGACAGCCTAACTTATGCATAGCGCACAGCAGCGTAATGCCCATGAAATGTCACAGGCCAATATCCTGAGAGGGGCAGCAATGCGCCCTGAGGAGTCAGGCCAGCATAAGAAGATCTCTTGGATCGCGGTATTAACCTGGCTGCTGTTAACCGCCCGCCAAAAAAAAGACTAAATACATGAAGAAAAAGAAAAAGAAAGAAAGATGGTTTGCAGTCACAGCAAATTTAGCGTCTTTTTTGCTAGGAATGGATAAAGTCTGGAGGACTTGATGATTTCCTCCTGTAAACCCCCTTTTATACCAAAACGCTGCAAATAGGCCATTATACAGTAGCTTTAAGTTAGAAACACGTTCAGCGGTCGTCTGAAACACGTCAAATACNGTCTTCTCCTAAAGTCGACCACCATCTCCTTCATCTTATTGGTGTTAAGACACAGGTGGTTCTCCTCACACCAGTCCACAAAGTACATGATGACCGACCGGTACCCCAGTGTGTCCGAGGTGTAGAGGGTGAAGAGGTGTTCTGGGGGGGGGGCACGGTGCTGCAGACACGGGCCCTCCAGGGCACCGTTCTGTCTCAGTTCCTCTTCACCCTCTACACCTCAGACTCACCTCATTCAGATAGAGTTCAGCTCAAGAAATTCTTCCTAAAAGAGCTTAATTTCTTGTTGGTTTTTAAAAAATGTCCCCAACTATTCCAGGATAATAAAATGTTAATGTTGTGGAAAGTTGAACTATTAGGGATTTTAGTTTCAATTCTGGAGCTTTTACTGAAGAACTGTCTCAAAGTACTGCAGTTTCAGATGAAGAATGCAGAGTGAAATGGTGTCAGTCGATCTGGGAGGCATGCACAGCACTGGCTGTCTGCACTCAGATCTCAGTTTTTAACGTATGCTACTTTTTCCATACTTGAAATCAGCTAGGCATGTCTTTTTTAGGACTTTTTTTTAAAGCTTTTGTCTTCGGTTCAGTCATTAAAATCAATTCCATATGCCCTAACATTCAACAGCTTTGAAGAGCAGTAAAATATCCCACATGCTTCACCCACCAGTGACGCTCTGCATGCAGCAGTAAGGCTTTTGGTGACAGATGGTTTGTGATATTTTCCCAAAGATGCATCTACGGCAACTGTCTTCAATAAACTAATAAGTTCCTTACAATGTCTTCTTATACAGAGCAGTTTCCTGGAATGCTAAGCTAGTTTTGATAGGACTAATTTAACATTTAGTTTAAAAGGTTTTTCGGGGGTTATTCCAGGTAATAAAGACCAGACAAACCTTAACAGAAAAATGTAGCACTGTGCTTTAAACGACATTAAATTTATTGGCTATTATTTTAGCTCCTTCTCTGCGGTTTCCTGTTCTTAAACAGCTGTCTGGGAATGTTGGAGTTCAGCATGCAGAGTGGATCACTCGCCAACAAGAAATATAATCGGCTCTTCTTCACTGTTGGTAATGATCTGTTAAAGCCCCTGTCACACCTTCGACAATTTAGTCAGCGTATGCCTGATGTCCCAGAATGTTCTAAAACACTGGCATGCACTGAACTTTCCATTTGTTTTTTTAATTTGTTTTTATTTTGGGCATATACAAAGCGTATTTGTAATGAGTCCAGAACTTATGTCCAACGACAGCCTAACTTATGCATAGCGCACAGCAGCGTAATGCCCATGAAATGTCACAGGCCAATATCCTGAGAGGGGCAGCAATGCGCCCTGAGGAGTCAGGCCAGCATAAGAAGATCTCTTGGATCGCGGTATTAACCTGGCTGCTGTTAACCGCCCGCCAAAAAAAAGACTAAATACATGAAGAAAAAGAAAAAGAAAGAAAGATGGTTTGCAGTCACAGCAAATTTAGCGTCTTTTTTGCTAGGAATGGATAAAGTCTGGAGGACTTGATGATTTCCTCCTGTGAACCCCCTTTTATACCAAAACGCTGCAAATAGGCCATTATACAGTAGCTTTAAGTTAGAAACACGTTCAGCGGTCGTCTGAAACACGTCAAATACGTTGATAAGCATTGGAGATAAGATACGCATAAGTTATGCACAAGTTACTCATAGGTTTTTGATAAGCTAGACGCCACAACTTATAAGTAACTCACACTTAACGTATATCAACGATCAAATAACTTTCCCGTAACTAATAACCCTCGTATGAGCATATGCTGGCATATGTCGATGTACTTGCCATATGCCGACGTGTGCCAGCGTACTTAACCATGCTCATAACATATACTAAATGTCCCCATGACTTATCCAACGTATGCCAGCGTTTTTGCCAGATTTTTCATACGTCAGGCATATGGTGGCCAAATCATCAAGGTGTGACAGGGGCCTAAGATATTGCCCTTCAAAAGCACGGCCAATAAATTAGTATGGCTAACTGACAACAGCTAGCCTAAGATCATAATATAACCTGACAAGTGTTTAGTCAGGAAACGTGTCGTACAGACAGTAATTGGCTTTGGCAATCCATAAGCTTTTTATTATAACTTTTAGACATTAAATGGTCTAACAATTATTTCATTGTTAAGATTATTGAATTCATTGTTAGCTGAATGTCAGAATGAAGGGGAAAGTTTTTGTGTTTTATTGCTTTCTTAAATTTCAGAAGTCCATATACACTAAGACTGCTATGCACTGACAAATTTGGAAAATCCAAATGTTGAGATAATGGCTTTATCTTCTGATGAAAGCCATGAAATAATCAGCCATAAGATAACTGGCATATGGGTGGAATTTTGAATCACCACAAACTCACTGCTTCCTATGAAACAAACATCCAGCAAAGACTCTTAATATTGTCCTACTTGAGAATTTCTGATGAGGAAGGAAAGTCTGAAGAATGTATACATCTTGGGGCCCGACAACATAATTTTTCAACCATTGGGTAAATTTTCACATCTGCAAAGTTTTACTTGTTCTTTTTTTTTCTTTGCTGTTACCCACTGTGTGCTGCTCATGTCCTCAGGAGTACCACGCCCAGCTGGAGGAGATGCAGGTGACCATCAGACAGCTGGAGGAGGACCTTTCAGCTGCAAGGCGTCGCAGTGACCTCTATGAAGCCGAGCTGAGAGACTCCAGACAAACAAGCGAGGAACTTAAAAGAAAAGCAGTGGAATATCAACAGAGAATCCAAAAGGTTAGGTTAGGATTTTGGTGGTTTAATTTCCCCAAGATAAGCTATATATTTATAGTGAGTGTAAAGCTTATATGGTACTCAAAGCAAGTCCTTGTTTGCTCTTAAGTTTTTAGCATTTATTATGTTTGAGGAGTCATTTTACTTTTTTGGAGAATTATATTTTCTTATTTAGCAAATTTATGTGAATGAATTGCTTCCTTCTAAAGGCTGCTACTTAATGAGTTCTAGATGGTGCATATTTACAGAAACAAGGTTTTTCATCTTTAATTCAAAATGCTTATTGCACAGTTCTGGCCTCATTTCTCTTCTGAGTGGGTTATTTTAGCAATTAATTGTTTTAGAGTCCATATACCCCACCTAATAAAAAATCCATAGCTAAATTAGCTGATGATAATGATAAATTACGGTATTATGAATGTAACCATGCTATCGATACATTACTTCTAAACACCTAATGTAGAGATTCACATGAGAAATTTTAAAAGGTAAAAAAAAAAATGATACAGTGAAATGAAAAGGAATTTTATTTCAGACAATTTTGACAAACAATAAATGAATCAACCAAATACACACAAAAATAGACTGGTTAACATGAAACACCAAATAGACCTGTTGGTAAATATAGTCAAAGATATGACATCGATTAATTGATAAAATATCACACAGTTTTTTTACTTTATTTTTTTATTCCTCGGAAATTAATAATTTTACAGTAACCTGTGTCCACAGCTGGGGAATATTGATTAATCTGTTTCGGGTTGTTAATTTTCAGGCCAAAGAGCAAGGAAAAGCTGAAGTGGAGGAGCTTCTTTCCAAACTTGAGAAGGTAAAAGAGAGATGAGACTCTTGTTGATCTTTAATCAGCTAAACTCATCAGAATTGATGTCTGAACACATCATTTTTTCTTTTAGACCAACTCTGAGCAGCAGGTGAAAATCCAAGAGCTCCAAGACAAACTTTCTAAGGTAGTTTTGCCTTTATTGTTTCTTCTTTATTATATAGAAACACATGCTGTCCCTCCATAGACACTGGGGGGTTTGTCTTGATATAAGCAGACGTTTCAGTTAAGCATTTTGTAAAAGAGCTCCAGTTTATTCTCATAGTCCATTATTTTCCCTAGGCAACCATGGGTAGGAGCTGAGCTAGCATATCAAGATGTCCGTCTTGGGATCCATTAGCAGCCTTTGACCTTCTGATTTTCCCCAGGCAGTGAAAGCGAGCACAGAAGCCACAGAGCTGCTGCAGAATGTCCGACAGGCCAAAGAGCGACTGGAGCGGGATCTGGAGCGCCTGCGAGGGAAAACCGACTCCAGTGATACTTTGAAGCGTCGTCTGAGAGAGACAGAGGTACCAGCCTAAATCTACAGCAATACACAGTGCCTTGAAAGAAGTTAATTTATGTTACACACACAATTTAGATTTGTTATTATAGTTAATTCGATTCATTTGATAAAACCCACTAACTGAACAATGGAGTATTAAATGTGATCTTTCCTCTGTCCACTGAGATGAAACATCACTACATCCACATTTTGAGTGGAAATGAAGTGCAGTGCACGACCCCAAAGATTATAAACTGTAAGGATGTCTCCCCCCTGTGCTGCTTTTTCCTCCAGCTCTGACAGCCTAGCATCACACCACAGACAGAACTAGATAATTAAAATAAAAACTGTGTCATACGACATTAGTACCTGAAGCATCAAACACTGGATACATGCAAAGATAATTATGTTAAACGGAAAGCTCCTTGTAAAATGTAACTCTGTGAAAAGAAGATTTGATTATATTAGAGTTCATAGGTTTCATTTTTATATACTGGTTGAAAACGATGTAAAAATTCATAGTAATATTTACAAGAAGTGAAATGATTGAGGAAGTCAATTTCCATTTGGACCATTTCGTTCAAACAGAACTCTGGTTAGCAAGCTCACCTATAACATGTAAACTTTTGTGGCACTTTCTCTTTAAAGAATCAGAATCAAAGATTGACAGGAACCGGAATGGAATCGAGGAATCTGAACCGAAATTGCCCAGCCCTACTAAACATTTTAAGTTACTAACAGCCCTCTCTTTGAGGCAAAAATTTAAAGACTTTTAGTAATTGTTGCATCAATAGGTAGCTTTAGAGAAGAAATTAGAGGGATTAATGTCGATACAGCATAAAGGAAAACGTTTTCTTTATAGCTCTTTAAAACGTTTGTTTTTAACATAAGTTGAGAAAAAGTTGAAATGGTAGATGTTTTTATAAGGCACAGTTTGACATCTTTAAATCCACTTTTTAATTGTCTCTCTGCTTCTGTGTTGATGCACGCCACCACTTTTCTGTGCACTTACTTTTTACGCTGGATGTTGTTGTTGCGTAAGCAGGAGGGCAGGAAGACCCTAGAAAACCAGGTAAAGAGGCTGGAGATGGTGGAGAGGAGGGAGAACAAGCTGAAAGATGACATTCAGACCAAATCCCAGCAAATCCAGCAGATGGCTGAAAAGATCCTGGTAAGACACCCTTAGATAAAGCTCATTAATACTCTCTGCTACTCCACCCCTAATTTCCCCCACTGCTCTGTGCCTTCCACCCTTCTAACCCCATAGTGATCTAGTCTCAGACATTAATGGATGTAGGACATGGATAGAGGGAGCAGAGCCTTACACAAAGATTGAGAAGAGTTAGTTTTAAATGAGCTAATCTGGTGGTTTTCAACATGAGCAGGCATCGCTACAGTCAGCTTGTTGATTTCCAGCTTTTTAATGCAAGTTTCCTCCTTTGCTTTTGTCTGTTGTCTTTAGAGTGAGGGTCGATTTAGTCTCCTAACTGTGTTGTTATGGTAACTTTAGATATTGTAATAATGCTTTTAATTCCCATAGGAACTAGAGGAAAACCTGAGAGATGCCCAGTCAACAGCCCAGAGGATGGAAACTCAGCTGGTTCAAAAAGAGCGGCTTTTTGAAGATAAGATCAAGGTGAGTCAGAAAATACTTGAGTCTTTTCCCCAGGTCTTATAGTTGAACCAGTGTTACCATCACATGTCTCACATTCAGACCTGACAATATTCTATGTGAAGTTTCCACCCCCCACTTTTCCCATAATGCCGTGAGTGAAGTCTCATATTTGTTCTGGCTTTTATGGATCCAGGTTCTGGAGTCCCAGATGAAGGCAGACATGGCTGAGAAGGAGAGCCTGGAGGCCAAAAGGGCACAGCAGGAGGAGGAGTCCAGGGAGAACTGCAAACTAATTAGTGAACAAAAAGCTGTAAGAAAACCAAATCTCCCTTTAATTCTCCCTGTCTGCTTAGTTTGGAGTTGAAAATGTGTTCAGGTTACGTTGATAGGAAAGTTTGATTGTAAGATGAGAATTGATTAGATGATGTGGTACTACATGCTAATGCAGTTTGGTTGCATTAGCATGTAGTGCTAAAGAAGACAGGGTAAATGGAAAAATGTGTTTGTTGCTCAATACAGCCTGAGCTTACGTTTTTTAATCTCGTAAATGTGTTAGACTCAAGGAGGTAAGAAGCTTTCTCAGGCAGTCGTCTGTCACTGACATGGCAGCCGACTAAATGGATTCAAATTGAATTCTGTTCATGTAAAACATTGTTTACTTACAGAGGGGGAAAAAAACCCGAAATAACTTCCATTGTTTTTTATGTAATTATTGTAAATTCTAGAGGATCATATTTGGATTTGTTGTTCTAGTTAAACCTTGATCTGCAGGGCTTTGATTTTATCCTCCTTCTACTGCAGACCATCAATGCTATGGATTCCAAGATGAAGAACCTGGAGCAGCGCATCGCTGAGCTGTCAGAGGCTAACAAGCTAGCAGCCAATAGCAGCATCTACACCCAGAAAAACATGTGAGAGAACAAAACGTCAAACACTTGCCAATTTCACGACCAGCCTGAGTTTTACCACTTCATCACTCGCGTACATTTAAACCAGCCTTTTATTCCATGTCTTTCTATCATATCTAAGAATTGGTAGGCTTAGGTTTTAGTATTTTTTTTCCTAATTACCGGTAAATAAACAGCTTTCTTAAATCAAACAATCTAGAAATGTCCATATTTTAGAATGTTTTTTACTAACTTTATTGCTTTTACTTTTATGTGATCAACAAACACATAATAGAGTACAATTATAAACTGGAGGGGGAAAAGTTTCATATTTTTTGTTAAAAAAAAAAAGAAAAAAACATGAATCCTTGCAGAATCCAGCTGTTCCAATGTTGTTTGAACATTAGAATAAAAACAGCATCACAAAGACCAAATAGATGATGCTCCAGTCAGCTGAGACTAAAATAAAAGATTTTTGTGGCAGAAAAATAATTGAACACTATAAAGAACCAGATAGGGGGAGCTAAATCCTAAATCCATATCAATTATCTTGAAGCTGCTAAAATCGGCCCATGTTCTGGAAGAAAAATTACTGTAACTAGAGTTAAAATGGAACATGCTACCAAACATATTTATAACCCAGACCTAAATCTAAAGAATCGTCTTCCAAAAAATTGGATGTTCTTTAAGCTTGCTCACGTTAGGCTGGCATCCATTCTGACTGAGCATGAGGCATTTTTCTAAGAAGAATCTGTAGTTATTTTGACTGTCCAAGTGTGCAAAACTTGAAATCAAGGAGCCATTTGTACTTCCATGTTAACTTTTGAAATATTTGTTTGGACAAAATAAAAATACCTTAAGTTAGTCTAAAACTTATTTTGGGGTTGAAATTGAGAGAAGTTTGAGAGTTGTATAAATACTTTTGCAGTCTTTTGATACAGATTGTCTTTCTTAGAGATGAGTAAAATATATAAATAAAAGCCCTATTTGATTTTTGTTTTTCTTGGCAGGAAAGCCCAGGAGGAAATGATCTCAGAACTTCGTCAGCAGAAGTTTTATTTGGAATCTCAAGCAGGCAAGCTGGAGGCTCAGAATGCCAAACTAGAGGAGCACCTGGAAAAAATGAGTCAGCAGGAACAAACCAGGAGATCCCGCTTGATGGAGCTGGAGAGCAGGCTTCGGGAGGTGAGGCAACAGCAGGCAAACGGACAGGGTTAATCTATAATCTACTCCTAATTAAGTAGTTCACTTAAACCAGCACTGAATCCAGCCTAGCAGGATTACAGTGAAACGAAGGGATTAAGGATCTGATCAGCTGGTTGGGTTTTATTGCTCTTGTCTAGGAAGAACCCCCTAATGTGAACAGTCAAAATAAGCTTTATTGGCCAGATTTTGGCAAAAAAGCCAAGGATTGAACTTCAGTCCCCTATGCTCTTAGTCTGCAAATATTTATAAAAACTAGAAAAAAAATGAGGAGAGGACAGATCATTGCTTGTACCAGCTAGGGGTGTAAATCACACCCATCATGGCGATTCGATTTAGTATCGATTTCCTGAACCAATGATTCGATTATTTTCGATCCTCAAGAATACACCACGATTCAATTCGATTAATTGGTTCATTTTTATTTTTTTTTTTTTAACACCTTACAGGCTAGACAATGTTTCAAATTTAAAATAAATCAATGAAAGCTGTAATATCGTTATGCTTTTTTTTTTTTGAGAAACTACAGAAAATAACAAAAGTAGAAAAAGTTGCACTTTATCTATTCCTATTAAAACCTCATTCACTGAAAAATAATAACACCCCTGCGTTATAGATTCTGCAAGGCTTTGTATCAGAAAATACTGCACAAAATCCGTACAATAAGTGCAATTCAATACCTCGGCTCCAGACGTCCCCGCCCCCTCCACAGACGCTCCGCTGCACCTCTCCCAAATTGTAGCTGACCGCAGACAGCGCCGCAGACAGGAGGCCGGTTTGTTTTGTTTTTATGACCAAAATTGCGGAAAACAACTCGTGAAGTTTGACCCGCTAGAACAGCGAGATGCGCGAGAATGCTGGGACCCTTTTTCCACCTGGATTCTTTTTGGCCCTCATGTCCCTCCGTCGTCGGACTAAACTCGCCCCCACTTCCTCACCGCCTCGGCCAAATCTAGACCCACAGCGTATAGCACAGACCACGCTTAAATACTGAGCATAAATAAAAAATGTCTGTGTCAAGCTTGCAGCAACAAACTGCTGTAAGAGTATAACCAGGAAGCGAGGTAGGAGGGCAAAATAGGTTTAGCGCCACCGCAGCAAGGGAGGGAGAATTACGTCCAGGAGCAAAATGGATAAAAATAGGCCGGAGGGGGAAAAAAACATGAATCGATACTCATGCGGACGTATCGATGCGTTGGATCGATGCATCGATACAAAACGATTATTATTTACACCCCTAGTACCAGCAGACATGGTCACATCTGTCCATCACAATGGGAAATTCATCCTAATGGTTCAATGTTTAGTTTTATTTATGGTTTAATAACTGGTGAAGAACTAAAGTCTGTCATTGAGTGCTTGTCTGCAGATGTTGCTGACAGCCTGCTGTCATGGCTCTGCTTCCTCAGACTTTACTGAGACAGGATACACAGCCTGTTTTAAAAAATAAAAAAGTTGACATTTTAAAAACTAGTCTTTTCTATAACCAGTAATGTAATGTTTGATATCTTTACTCTGAGATTTCCAGAAGACTGACAACACTTCCAATTTTTGTTTGTCCCATAAGAGACGGGTTTAAATGTTAAAAAAGATATAAAGAAACAGCCTTTACTGTAATCTGCTGATCCTGTTATCTCCAGGTCGGTTTGATTGACATGACCCACCCCATGGCTGAAGGCCTTTCATTGAACATAAGACGTTTTGCACGAAATGTAAAAGTGCTAAATGGCAGAAAGAGCAGCAACCACTAAAACCTAGTTCTGGTTGTCTGAGCAGGGGTGTGTCACATCTTTAAAGGGGCCATCATCATTTTAACCTTTCATTTACAAAGACCACACTGCTTTAGTTTACATCTACTCAATAATTTTTTTAATCTTGGTCACTTTGCACATTTCTTGTTTTTTTGCAACAGATGTTTCATGTTTTCATCATTAAAGTACAGTTACATTGCAATTGTGTTTGAACATGTTTCCACTTATAGACGCACACAGAATAAGTGAAAACCACCACTAAAAACATTTCAGCACTGCACAGTACCACCCCAGGTTAAATAAGGTTCAGCACTGGACAGAGCCTGTGGTGACTGCACAGCAGGGGCAGACAAGTTAATTGTTTTGGCTGAGGGCTTCTGGGGGGCTGCACATCACTCAACCTGTGAAACCCGTCCATCAAATTCTTTCCAATATTTCAGAATTTAACCCTTTGCCATTAGCCAGCACTTCAGACAGGACCCTAACTCCTTCAACAGCGCCCATACGAGGCTCCTAAGGTTCAGCACTGGACAGGGCCTGTGGTGACTGCACAGCAGGGGCAGACAAGGCGCCAGCCATTTCAGCACTGGACAGTACCAACCTAGGTTAACAACAACAATAAAAAAGATGTAGAAGCAACTAGTGTTGCGCTGATGCCATTTTTTGGCCCAGATACCTGGCTGTGCAGTATCGACCGATACCATCTGTTTAAAATTGATTTGTGTGTATATATGAAGAACTGCATACTACTTGGATGTAAAATAACTGCCATCATGGCTTTGTCAAGCTGCTGCCTACCTTTGTGAAGCAGGAAAAAGACAAATACAAAGTGAATCCAGTAGAACATTTTATTGCCTACCTGGAATGGGTGACAATAGTTGAATAAACTGTTAGCTCTCAAAATGGTATTAGTCCCCTATTTGTCGGTACTCGCCAATACCGATACCACCATTTTAGTGCTGGATCCGGGCCCCACCCAGTACTGGTATCGGTATCGGTGCAAAACTAGAAGCAGCCATTACATTTTGAAAAAGTCAGGGTTAAATTATTGATTTGCCAGAATTAGTATGTTAGTAGGAGGAAGCATTTTCTGCCATTGTGAATATATTATGTACAATATCCATCCATTCTGTGAGCAATCTTCTTGTTATGGCTTTTTCAGGCAGATGTAAAGACTATTTTAACTAACTAATATCTTCTACTTCAGAGATATTGCCCAATTACAATGTTGGAGCGAAATGGGCAGAGTATTTTAGCACTTCTCATTCTACACAAGTTGCTAATTGTCTTTATGTAAGGAATGATAAAGAAACTAATTCCATTTTCCCAATTGAATTCCCATTATTTTAATGAAATCATAGAAGACTCTGACAACCTACATGTCCTATACCAGTGCTGATCTGGTTTTGTAATGGATCTTTTTCCCTTTTTTAATTTTTCCCCCCCCATTTTTCTTTAACAAATATTGTCATAACCTTCTGGTATGATATCATACTGGTGTAAAGTTTTGAGACAATCTTAAACTATTATTGTTTCTAAAAACAACATTATTTAACCTATTATTAGCTGAAGCAGCATTTTGTTCATCCTATCCTAGTCAAGTTTCTTTATTGTAATTCTCTCCTAATTTAAACGAAAGAAATTCTGATCAATAAGTCCCAACGTTGCTTTTTTTAACCCTCGAAAACTCACTTTGCACACATTCAAAGAATAAATTCCTCCCTCTAATGACATTATCTACTGTTTTGGTTCGTAAGGTTAGATACAAATGGTCTACAGGTTCAGGCCACACGCCTTCTTATGCCCACTCTGATTTTTCACACCATTTAAGGAGTTTTCCTTAGTAACCTCATTCCCACCAAAGATTGATGGTATATGTTGTTTTATTCACGGATCAGAAAAAAAAATTGGATTTTTGGATTTTCCAAACAGCTGGTCAAGATGAGAATCAGCTTTACCAGTGTGTTTCTCTACCCCTCTGAGATTATAGCTTCTAATTCGGCTGGTTTTGATGAATTTTCTTATATATTGTCATTTAAAGCTAAGAATAAAGTTACTTACACAGCAGCACTTTTACTATAGCACTGCTTTCCTAAAGCCTATAGAGTCCAGTCTTCTACAAACATTAAACAAGGCTCCTTCAATTACTGCTGCTTTTAAAGACTAAATATGTAAATAAATAAATAAGGCTATTTTTTTTGTATTTCATTCTTCAAAGGTTGTATCCATCCATTCTTGTTTTCATTTTTTTTTATCCCTTCATCTGTACGTTCCACTCCCTCCTTTATTGGTTCATATTCTATTCATTCATCAGTCTTTCAACCGTCTGCCAATCCTCTTCACAGTGTGTGGCTTTCTTTTCTAAAACAGGACCACCATAAAATAGCTGCCACAAATTTCTGAAAAGAAAAAAAAATCCAAAATCTTGAATGTTAGAATATTAAACATTAAAATGAAAGATGTGCATGAACCTGGTGAAAGCAGACTTATCACTTTGTTTTCCATGTAGATGGGCCTTGAACATGAAGAAGAGAAGTTGGAGATTAAGAGACAGGTGTCGGAGTTGACCTTATCTCTTCAAGAGCGTGAGTCCCAGATCAGCAGCCTGCAGGCTGCACGCCTTGCCTTGGAAAGTCAGCTGCAACAGGCCAAGACTGAGCTGGAGGAGACAACTGCTGAGGCGGAGGAGGAAATTACTGCACTGAGGGTAAGAGGTGATACTCCACAAAGACAATTCCTCATAAAGTTAGTGTGCAGATGGGACGACGGAAGCAGATACCCTGCAGCAAAAGCCACTTCCATGTATTCTGCTTGTATGAATGTTAATTTTCTCTTCTAACATACTTAATCTTAAACATTTAGGCTGTTCATAATTTCACTTTGTGTGCATCATGTTTTATGAGTTTGTTTTCTTTGTTTTGTTTTTTGTTGCAGAACCACAGAGACGACATTCAGCGCAAATTTGATGCCTTAAGGGACAGCTGCTCAGTAAGCACCGCCTCTACCTTTTTCTCTCTTTACTTTAAACAAAAGATATTTGGCTAAAGACTTGTTCAGTGTTGCAATCTATATTTAAGGAGTAGCACTTTACTAAGGATCTATTTGCAGCTTATATTCCAGCCAAGCAACACATTTCAAATAAAATGAACCAAAAGGCAAATGTGTAGGAGGTTTTAAGTTATGATCACCTGTATGTCCGGGGTTAACGCCTCCATGTGTTTGTCTTCCCTCAGGTGATCACTGACCTGGAAGAGCAGCTCACACAGCTGAGTCAGGAAAATGCCGAACTGAACCGCCAAAACTTCTACTTGTCCAAACAGCTGGATGAAGCGTCGGACGAGAGGGAGGATAAGATGCAGCTCAGCCAGGAGGTGGACCGCCTCAGGAGGGAGGTGGCCGATCGCGAGATGCACCTCAACAACCAGAAACAGGTCAGATCAGAGCAACTGAATTGGCCTCTACCTCCAGGTGCTGAAGAAGTGAAAATCAGGAATGTAGCATCGATCCGCTTTAACATCAGGATCAGCCAGTGTTGGTTATTTTGAAACCTATCTGTATCGGGCCGATAAATAAAAGTGGGCCAATATTGACAACTGATGTTTAGTTATGCTGTCAAAAGGTTAGAACTCAAAATAGGATGCAATGTCTGCTATCAACCATAAACAGCAAAATTATTTGGTATTAATATTGGCCCAAATTTTCATATCTGTGCATTCATGTGAAAATATACCATAGCTGTTTAAATATTTATGGTTAAATAAATAATTTCTAAGTTAAAATACTCTTCTTTTTAAAGGAAATGATGATCGTAACATCTTGCTACTTATTCTCAACCATGTTAATGTTGTTTTTTTGCATTTATGTTCTCAGAACATCGAGACCCTGAAGACAACATGCAGCATGCTGGAGGAGCAGGTGGTGGAGCTGGAGTCTCTAAACGACGAGCTGCTGGAGAAGGAGAGGCAGTGGGAGGCATGGAGAGGAGCTCTGGAGGACGAGAAAAACCAAGCCGAGAGACGCACCAGAGACCTGCAGAGACTGCTGGATAATGAAAAGCAGAACAGGTGAAACATTAGGCTTTTTTAAAGCATTTTTTCTTTTGTTCACAAACATGCAATTTAACTGTTGTTCATTTTCATAATCTTAGATTTTTCAACTTTATAAGTTAACTTATTGGTTCTGATCCCAGGCTTCGTGCAGAGCAGCGCAGCTCCGAGTCTCGTCAGGCAGTGGAACTAGCAGTGAAGGAGCATAAAGCTGAAATACTGGCATTACAGAAGGCCTTAAAGGAGCAGAGACTGAAAGCTGAAAGTCTCTCTGACACTGTAAGTGTCTCACCTATCCTCTTTACTTCCCAATTCATCCATATTTGTTTCTAAACCTTGTGCATTTCATTTGGCAGACTGGGTGATGCGAGAAACCCATTACACCAGATGACATAAATGACTGCATATGAATGCGCTGCTTGTAGGAATGGGGCTTTTATAGATGCCATTGAAAACTTTCCTTCTAAAATACCGCATTATGCTATTCTGACAGAATCAGAACAAAGAAAATTGTCATGGATGGTTTAGCAGATCTTAAAAAAAAAAGAACAGGATCTTCAGATTCACTGGAAGGTGTTCAAACACCAGCATCACCAAACAGATTCTTCCAGCCACCCGCAGAGACAAGCCAAAAAGCCTCCCGGAGATGTTTGGTTGTAAAAGGTTCAGGATCAAGGCGCTGCTTTAAAACTTAGGAGTACAACACTGACAATTAAGCACAGTAGCAGCAGCATCACGCTGAGGGCCTGTGTCCCTGGACAGTTAAATTCAGACATACCTGGGCGTTAAAATGGGAAACTGATTCTCAAACGCATCAAAGCTGGTTTCTAAATAGATGCAGCAGGGATTAGGATGAAATATTTTGGATATCTGAAAATATTAAGAATAAAACCCATAATCTATATGAGTCTGTTACAGGAAATCAGTCATTTTAGGCCAGTGCCAACATTTAAGATAAAGAAGTAGAACCATCCAACTAGAACCATGGCAGTAGATTTCAATGGTTACATGAGGTGTGTAGTTTCTCTTTTATAATTTATTATTTATTTTAGTCTCTTGCCAAAAGCAACTGTTTTCTCTGGGGTTCATTACAAAAATGCAAACATCAACAAACCATTGTCATTTGTATTATTATTATTATTT